AAAATAACTTAATATTTTTAAATATATAATTTATTCATGTGATGGTAAAGCTAAATTTGCAGCAAACTCCAGTCTTCAGTGTCAAAAATCATTCTAATTTGCTGATTTGCTGCTCAAGAATCTTCTAATTATTATTAGAGTTGAAACGGGTATGTTGCTTGATATTTTTGTTGAAACCATGATACTTTTTTCCCCCTGGATTATTTGATGAATGTAAAGTTCAAAAGAACAGCATTTATTAGAAACAGCAATATTGTGTTACTCAGTTTTGCTTGTGTTACTTCTCTCTCATCATCCAATATGTGTTTCTGTGCATCAATGATAAATGTAATACAAAATAAATAAATAAACAAGTTAATAAATAAACGACAGCAGTAACTGGAGGGCAAATAACATCCACAAATCCTGAAAAACTGTTACCACTTCGGAAGTTTTCTTTTCTTTGCTAAATCTATACTATAAACTAAAGACGTCTTGTCATTCTGGACCTTAACAGGTTTTGAACAACACAAATGGTCTTATTTCAACTCAAAGCAGATCTCCAAAGACTAGAAAGGCATGAAATCAGGCACTCTAAGTGTAAATGAATCCTCTGGCCATTGGTGTGCCAGGACAGAGGGCATGCATAGTATAAGTCCCCTACTGAGTCTCTGCCTCAAACCAGAAATCTGAGTTGCTGTTTTATCTTCATGTTTTTTCTTTTTTTTTTCATAAGCAATTTTGCTGAGATCCTACCAGATCTGACAAGAATTTGATCCATGTATCACATAACCCCTGTTGTGATATGTACAGCAGTGGGAATATGTGGTTATGGCCAATGAAGGCTTGGGGTACATAAATGCTGCTCTATGTACTGTACATAAGGAAGTATTAGTAATGCTAGTGAAATACAAATACATCATGTGGAATTATTTTTAACTATTTGATTCTGACACACTGTTATATTATTGCAATTGATAACATAGTATAAGCAACATGGACACTGTGTGTGAAATATTGACTGTCCTTGTTGCAGTTTAGGGATATTTTGTACTGTTAATGTCATTATTAGCAGCATTTGAATCACTTTGGGAGGTAATTTAGGTAATGGCTCACATAACCAAGCAAATTAGGCTGTGTTAACCTTTTTTTTATTTACTACAAAGTGTCATCCACCTTACATCTCTCAATTTTGCTAAGTAAAACATTTTTCCTTATTGTAATATAATTTTTTTTTATACTAATAGTATCGGCCAAGGGGCTGCCGATAGCAGCTGAATCAACTCGGGGAACCACATCTGATTCCTCCAGAGTGGGGCCACCAAGAGGAGTGAGCATCTGACTTCCCTGACCCAACTGATGGCCTGAGGAAGAAGGGGAACTGGAGGAAAGGCATACAGGTGAGCTCTCAGCCAGTTGTGGGCCAGGGCATCTCGATGTTTCGAAAAATAAATTGGGCAGTGAAAGTTGTCTTTTGAGGCGAAGAGGTGCATCTGTTGTGACCATCTTCCTTCTGGAGGTCAATCCCAATGGGTTGCCTGATTGAAACAGGCGAGGAGTTTTCCAAGGGGCCACAGCTCTGATTCAGCAGTGGGTTACCCTGAGATGAAAGCGTCCCAGGCGCCAAGCGTGGGACGGGACATGGGCTTTGAGCCAATACTGAAGAGGCCTCATGTGAAGCAGGCCCAGAGGAATTACAGAGGAAGCGGCCAACATGAGGCCGAGCATCCTCTGGAAAACCCTGAGGGGACGCGAAGTCCTCAGTTTGAAAGACGCCGCTAGCTGCTGAATAGTCAGGGAGCGTTCCGGCTTAATCCATGACCGCATTCATGCAGAATCACTAACTGTCCCCAGAAAGACCACTCACTGGCTGGTATACAAAGAGCTCTTGGTTAAATTCTCAACCCAAGCCGCTCCAGGTGGCTGAGCAGCAGCGACATGTGAGCGATGAGTTCCCGTTCTGATCTGGCTAAGACCAGTCAATCATCGAGGTAATTTAGAATGCAGATTCCTATCTTTCTCAGAGGGGAAAGAGCCACGTCTATGCAATTTGTAAAAGTGCGTGGGGCCAGAGACAGTCCGAGTGGTAGGACTGTATACTGATAGGCCACTACCTCAAATGCGAATCTCAAGAACGGTCTGTGATGGGGGGCTATCTGTATGTGAAAGTAAGCGTCTTTCAGATAAGCGTCTTTTTTATAGAAACCAGTCCTCAGGGCATACTTGCATATATGACCAGTGTTGGGCAAGTTACTCTGAAAATGTAGTCAAATTACTGATTACTGATTACTCCTTTTAAAAGTAATCACGTTACTGTTCTGATTACTTTATTTCAAAAGTAATTAGTAATTAGTAACATTACATTTGTTTTAGATATTTTATATTTGGATATTTCTATTTTGCGGGAGTCCCGTGAATCATTTTATTCTCCCGCATCCCGCACCCCGCACACACACACGAGTGTCTGCCTGCAGCAGCACTCGCCCATCTTGTCCCGCGCCGCACTCTGTTGAGTCGGGTCTCGCGGGAGAGCAGGTCTCTAATCCACTGGCACTTGACTCGACAGTGCATGTGCTACATCCTTTTTACAATCTCTAGATTATAAAACACTGCATTCTGTCGGCAATGTAATGCAGCAACAACGTATAGAGACCTCGGCTTGTAACTATACTCTAATTACTATTTTGAAAATTATAACGCGTTAGATTACTCCGTTAGTAAAAAGTAATCAAATAACAGTAGCACGTTACTAAGTAATGTGTTACTGCCCAACACTGTATATGACATTCATGATTATGAGGAGAGGAAAAATGCTCTTTTGAGTATGTAGGTCCACTATCACAGTGGTAGTTTGCATGGGCTCATACTGAATGGAAAGGACAGGCCCAGCTTCAATGGGGCTTCCATCACTCAATGTTAAGTGGAGGGATGGAGAGTGAGCATGAGACTTCTTCGAGTGAGTTCCAGCCTCGGCGAGAACTGACACTCTTCCTCTCTGTGTTTTGATGAGGACTGCTTCTGAGGCTCAGGGTCCAATGTCACTCTGGGGTGGGGACCTTGACGCTTTGGAAACAGGTAGAGTTTTGCCATCTAAGGGCGTTACTGAAGCCCAGGCTCAGGTTTAGGCTGGGACTGAGGCGGCACAGGCTTAGCAGGCTGCTGAAAGGATGGAGCCTTCTGGCAACGGGAAGTACTTCACTGGGGAGTGAAGTACGCGGGAGCTACACTGGCTTGAGTTTACTCTAGCCTGGTGTTTAAACCCCGCTGCTCTGCTGTTTCTTCCTCCTAGGGGAGAGTGGAAACGGGAGAGCGGAGAGGGGAGGACCGCCTTCATTAAAGAAGGCTACCAACGAGCGGAGATGGGCGAGACTCATGCTCTCGCAGTGAGAGCACTCCGTACTGGTGAGCGAAGCCTCTGAATGGGTTCCCTGTCCGAGTCACACTTGCAGCGCGACATTTGAAACAACGCCGCTGGAAATTTGCTCAGAAATTTGCTTAAATACACCGCATAGCCACAGGGGAAGGCTTCTGGATTCTTCCGCTACCGGGGGCTCCTTCTCATGGTGGTGAACTGCAGGCTGAGCTTCTTTCTTCTTCTTCGGCTTCTTGCTTGCAGAGTCAGCGAGGAGATGATCTTCGTCACTGAAGGAGAAAAATTCTGACAAAATGGCACTCTGAGCCAACTTATATAGTCGGCTCCTCCCCTTTTGGTTGGTTGAAGCGCCATTGGTTTTTACAGTTACATGAACGTGAACAAATCAGGCTTCAGTATTAGAGTAAACAGGAGTTGCCCCATAAGTGTCAGCGATGCAACGGGAGAGACCGTTCGAAAGGAAACTGGCTTTCCATCAGAAACAAATCTGACTTATCTTAATCTCTACATTTTCCTTATTGTCTTTCAACCCTGTGTTGTTATTGTTCTTGCAAGCTGAAATCCCCACCAGAAATAAACATTTGCACCGCATGGAGTGATATTTTGTCACATTTTTATTTTTGACGTATTTATTTATTTATTTTTTCTCTGATTTGATATGCAGCAGAGCGAATGCATGAGCTAAATATGACAAGAGCTCAAACATTTGGTTCTTGCTACATAATGTGACAGAGAGCAAGGGAATATCTCTCGGGTCTCCCTAATGACAACAAGAGATTTGATTTCAGTTTGAAGAGATGGAAGGGAAAGCTTGCTGCACGCTCCTGCTGATTGATTTAGTGGAAATAGAAACGTAATGTCTGACTCCCTTCACCATGCATCAGGCTTGTGCATGGTCTTCATTGTCAAAGCCCTGTCAATTCTCTATTCTGCATGCTGAAGAGAAGGTGCACTGCTCCCTTTGAAACTACTTTGTCCTTTTGGCAAGGATTTGTATATTCTGTATATTCTGTAGAGTAACTCTACAGATAATGTGAATAATTGGGAATTTAATGAGGCTTTTATGCACCACTGTGACATTTTGGCCTCCACCAGTGAGAAAAACTCTGTCCCTGTGCATGTGGATCATATACTTTAACTATGCACATGGGTTTTGACAGCAATATCAAGCAGTTAATTATTTCACGGATGGCGCTTGTACATCTGAATCAGTTGGATCTTATGAGGGTACTTTTCACATTCCAATCACTGATTGGAGGAGACTGATTGGAATATGCTCACAACACCAGCTAAACTCCCTCTTTCAAGCCGCAGATCCGGGCATGAAAGAGTACAGCCAATGAAAATAAATATAGAAATGTGCTTCTGTTCTAATTATTATTTAAATTCTGCACTCATTAGACAGCTACATCCAGTCACACATTCCTTATTGGCTGGAGAGCACATGGCAGGGCACTTATTCATGCAACCATTATAAAGCTGTGCAGTGTTTATTATAAATTATACATTTATATCCGTCAAACCATGTCCTCCACTTTATTTATTTATTTATTTATTTTTTAAATAATAACATTGCAAATGTTGGATGACAGCATAAATACCAAGAAAAATAAAAAAAATAAAAAAGAACAAAACACGCAAAGGACACAAGCAAGTAATTAATACTTCAGGGTAACTTAAAAGAAACATACAAATAAACTCCGGCAGCAAATTACCACACAGAACAATGCATCATCAATTTAAAACAATTATTTTAGAGCTTGGGCTATACTACTCCAATAAGTGACAGTTTGTATTCTAGCCCCATTAATCCTTGCAGTGCTGCGTTCTAAACAAACAATATAATGAAAAGACAGCAGCCAGAATCTTCTAAGATCCATGTCAGGAGTGAACCATTGCTGTGTAATTGTTTTTTTTTAGCAGCAGTGAAACCAGACATTAACAATCTTCTCTGAACTAATGTAAAGTTGTAGGAAGTCCTCCACTTTATTTTGCAGAGAAAGTTGACCTAGCACATTCAGCAATAGAGGTTGAATAAAATTGCATGTTGGAGGCTATTTTTTATATTGACCACACAATCAATAGAGCTTCCTACAGCGCGAAGCTATTGAGGATAATATTGCTCGATTTTTCACAGTTAGGGCGTATTAGTTCCATGAGAGCTTCTCCACTGATTCAACCCAACCAGGCTATTCAGTGTTCTTTATTGTTAAGGTGTGTTACTGTATGTGTGAGCCACATAATAGAATCTTGATCTCGTTGACTTCTTGACTTCATTCTATTAAATATTTTCTTTAATACTACATGGGAAGCATTCCTAAAGTTTGCGAACCAAAACGAACAATGCATTTTTCTTTTTCCCATTCCTATGTCCATTTCTATTCATAATTTTCATAGACTTCATAATACTGCAGACACTCTTAAAGTCATTTGTAAATAAAAGTATCATCCATTCCCTTGGTCCATCATGTCATTTTTTGATGTTCAATTCAATCTTTATATATCAAATTAAATAATTCCATTAATGTGTGTTTGTGTTGGAGATGAACTCCTCTCTGTTGTTAAAGTGCCAATATTAAAACATTAGCTGTGATGAATAGCAAAAGGGCAAGGCTGCAGCACAGTACTACATAGCAGAGATGTGTGGTAAATGATGGCCTATTGTGTGAGCATGTATCACTCTCCCAGAGCTTGGATGCTATGACCTAGCCTGTCTCTAAGTGCTATAATGAACTGGGCAAGCATTGATGAACAATGTGCGATGCCTGGGGGGCAGAAACTACGGGAAATGCTGAAGCAATGCGCATTATCGTCCATCCCACTCTCCATTAGTGGTGTGCAATGCACCTACAATATGCCCCATGGGAAAGAAGGGAATATTACATTTGAAAGATTGCAGGGTCATGTGATATTTAGCAGGTAGGACTTCCCATTGAGGAATGGAGGAACAGATACAGAAAGAAAAAAGTTGGCTTTTGAACGCATTACTGCATTTTAATGGAGTAAACTAAATACCTTTTAATCTTTTTATGTATTTGTAGTGTTTTTGGATTATTACGTTTCCCTATGCTCTGAATTTTACTATTCATCTGTTCAAGCCACTGTCTAGTGATTAAGATTTACACAGCTATGCTTTATGTTAAATTCAATGTTAAATGTCAAGTTTTTTAAATTAAATCAAGCATGCTTACCATTCTTTCCTCCCTTAAGACCCTTTGCCAAGGAGATTTAGTGGAACACAAGAGCTTTGGCGAGTAGATTAGAGCAGTGTGTGTCAGACGGCACATGCTGAGCTGTTACATTTCAAACAGGTGTTGTCATATTCTCAACAGAGGAATAACATGAAGGAGAGAATCATTCAGGGCTCCCACCTGCCTCTTCTACTGACAGTTTAAGAACCCTTCATTTGAAAGGTAATGGTCACAGCTAGAGAAAATTATATTTCTGTTCATGTAAATATTTTATCTCTAGCTCTTTCTAGGAATGATTTGAGTGAATTTTAAGGGGGGTTATACAGTGAGAGAGGCAAAGTTCAAATCACAAACAATAAACAAACATACTGATGTCATAGATCCTATTATCCTAAAATGGGTTCAGAGCAAAATAGCAAAATCAAAATACATTGAACAAAAGATTTGTAACTGAATATCGGCATGTAGATGTCTTCAGGCCAGGACTCTGACCAAACATGTGAATTTTGGGGCAGATTGGACATTGCATGTTTAAGTTAGTGTAAAACAAGTCATTTCCTGTTGCCAGGAGATAGCACTTTGATTATAATGGAATATTGGCCTATAGATGTGTTCAAGCCAGGACTCTTACCAAATGTGTGAAGTTTGGGGCAGATTGGACATTGTATGACTAGTTAAAGCAACTTCCCTTTCCATCACGAAACTGAAACCATGATGTCTGTGCATTCATTAAAAATTTTAACAATTAAAAAATTTAGCCTATAATAACCTAGTATACAGAAATTGATTAAAGTAATCAAATGTAAAAATAAAGCAGTGCATAGACTTCACCATATAAATTAAACATAAATTGATTCATAAAGTTATACAATATTCAATGAAGAGCAGTGACTAATTCAGCACAGATACTAACTAGCATTCAATTACTTTTCAAACTGTTTATTTTCACTAAAGACATATTTGTCTGTGTTTAGTGAAAACTAACAAAGACGGATATTTTGGCATATAAAAAGTGCAAAATAGCATATATTTGTCCGTGTTTCAGTCCGTCTCGAATTGCGCTCACGGAAAGCGCTTGGGGAATAGTGTCTCTTCCGCACTTACTGCGAATTTAACCCGTTTTTTAGTATCGAGCAAGAACGGCGGGAGACTGTATATGATTTGACTGATTTGGATGTTGCATAGAAAGGGCAACAGCGCACCGCATTAAAGAAAGGAACATTCATATTTTCATGACCGTTGGCCAAAATCAAAAACGAAACTAAAATGAAATAATCGTTGAGAGCAAAGGGCCCCCATGGTGTTTCGGGGACCCTACGCAACATGCGTAATTTGCAAATAGGGAGGATCGGCTCTGACAAAGGGCTTTAGATTACACTGACCAAATTTAGGGTTGATCTGATGAAATCTTTAGAAGTTTGTTAAAATACAACGGCTGAAAATGGCAAAAACGGCACAAAAATTGCAGAGAAAATTCTAAATAACTGACTTCCTGTTGGGTTTCGGCTCCAAGAGACTTTTTGTAGGTATTGGGATGCTACATGTGTCTACCGAATCTCGTACATGTACGTGAAAAATAGCTCGAGGGGCACTTCATTCAACACTTCAAACAGCTGTTTAGGTGGCGCTATTGAGCAATTTTGCCAGGCCTAATTCTGAAACCTATATCAGACGTAAATTTTCGCCACTTCTGCCACGTGTTCAAAGTTTCATTGTTTTTTAACATGTTTAGGCCCTCAAAATTGCGATTCATTTTGGATAATAATAATAATAATAATAATAATAATAATAATAATAGTAATACTACTACTAATAATAATAATAAACAGAGCAATTCTGAGAGTTAATCACACCACGGCGCTTGCGCCCTAATAAACGGAGCAATTCCAATAGGGCTCTCACACTAATAATAATAATAATAATAATAATAATAATAATAATAACAATTAGTATTAGTAGCAGTAGTAGTAGTAGTAGTAGTAGTAGTAGTAGCAGTACAACAACAACATTTCACACTAAAAATGAAGATGCCTTTGTTTGCCATATGTTTGTTTTTTAACAGACCGTTGCTGTCTTTACTTATTTTGCTTAGTTTTAAGGGTTCCATCTGTCTCATTGTCCAACAAAACACACACACTATCTGCAAAGAGAGAAAGAGAGGAGGAATAGAACAGAGTCCATCCCAGCTGTGTCTCTCCTTTCATAAATATCACATGCTCCGTGCTCAGTATGGGTAATTACAAGTTTGTTTAGCATTAGCATAATAAACATGCATGTGTGAAAGTTAACAAATGTGACATGATTACTAATCCACTTTGAAAATTTACCGCATTTAATTAGACTCTAAATGCCTAGGAAGAGTGGCCTCGGTAACCAGAAATAGTCCAATGACCAATTAACTTCTTTGTGCAGTTAGCAGTTAAAAGTAAACCATCAGGACTGGGCCTGACCTGTAATATCCCTAGAGAAGTATCTTCAGCTAATTCTACACTCTGACTGCAAAACTTCCCCTCGCTCCCCTGAGATAACTTACGACAGAATGATGTCATCACATGCTTGGCGGAACGAACAGTTTCAGCTCACCCAAGCACATCCTTGCATCTGCTGGAGACAGAATTATGCATGATGGTGCCTTATTTTCATAATGAACGGGTTAATTACACTTGTGTGACGGCCCAGTGGCCTTGTCGTGAGCACGGGGAGGCCCTTCACTCTTTTAATTCAGACTTACAAAGTGTGACAGAGCCTAGATCTGCCCTTCCGTGATGTGATTAAGACATACATACTTGGTGGAATGAGCTCCATTTCTCAGCTTTTTCAAGAATCGAATATTGACATATTTGAATCGTGGCTGGCCTCTTGCACTCGCACAATTCAACAAATGGTGCACAATATCTCAGATTAATTTATGCCATTGGCCATCAGCTCAAACTAATCACCGTCTGAAGGAGAGATAACAAAAATGCGACACTGAATTATTTGCTTAATGTCTCACTTCATGTATAATTTAAACTGATGTCCTTAGCATTCAGTCTCATCTTTTAAAAAGGAAAGGAAGAGAAGAAAACAGTGATAAAGATATGTTATTTACATGCAGGGTGTCATTTGTTAAAAACTAGTGAGGGGATATTTGAATGAAAATGTCATCACTGAAATTTTCATGTGAATTTTAGACAGTGTATAAATACAGTATATGTTTTTTATAAAATTAACTGTGAAAATACAGAAAACTGTTTTCACTAAATTAAACAATAATTAAATTTTTAACAATTAGGCGAAATGAGGTACTAGGATAAGCTGTCAAACATGTTGAACACATTTTAGCGATCTGTGTCCAGACATGCCTGTATCTGTTTTATCTTCATTCCATCTTAGTCCAGGATAAGTCATGGTGTCACACACGTGATACTAGGCTTCTTGCAACGCTTAAAATAGATTATGTAATGAAAGATACAATTAAAAACTTTTTTGGTCTCATGAAAGAGCAGCAATGGTGCATTGTGCTGACTATACATAATATTGAATTA